CCCCTATTTAAGGGCAAAGCTGGCCGGAGAAAGTAGTCCTCCGGCCCAAGGTGAGGGGGCTGGGTTCATGCCCGATGACGAGGATAAAAAAGGAGTGAAAGGGGTCGCAAATGGATAAACCCGTTCGAGTACATGACACGTGCTCTCCAATTCGTTCACGTGTGCCAGTAGATGCTTCTTGAATATGTTATGATCTGGAGAACAGGCTTGGAAACACTTGAGTTTGAAGGCTTGGACACCTGGGAACACATGAGGACGAATGGGAACGCTTCGTTCGGATCAGGAGATCCAATGTTTTCCTTGGAGATGATTCCAATATTTTCACTGGAGTCTCTCAACGGGAAAACATTCATTATACTCGAGGATCATGAAACATTTTCAGAGGATATTCCTCTTTTCCCTTTTCGACTACACGACAGCATATACGGTAGAGTTTTACTTAGTAACTCTTGCGGGAAGTCCATCATTGCGCCATACTGACCTGAGCAGCGCCTCATAAATGCGTTCCAACCTTCAACTGTATGGTTTATCTGTTCTTAATCACTTTGCTTGTCGAAGTCGCTCTTAAGCTATGAATTAGTCCCATCTCTTGCAAATATGTGCCCAGACATCGTGGTCTAAATAGGCCTTTGGTTGACTACACTGACCTTATGACAAGTGGAATACTGGACCTCGTTAGCTGCCGTAGGGTGGTGGCGCCAACTCGCATTTGTTGGTACAGTTATGCCGATTCTTTTTGCAAATAAATATATAAAAAGCCAGAAATGTTCAATTTTCGTGTATCGACCCAAAAAATCCGTTTTGTAATGCCGAAATTCCAAGTTACAAAGCCCTGCCACAATAATGCTCGAATAGCCAACCCCACGAGTGAATGTGTCTTAACTTCATCATTCTTGTTATATGGTATTCGTTATGAGGTTCTTGCATCCTTGCATCCTGGATTGGCAAAAAGTAAAGGGCTTCGGTGCGCATCTTTTCCTACGTTTCATTATTTATCTCGCTAATTAATAACAATTCTCTCTCTGATTGGAAAGCGTCATATTTCGGTTGAACTATTATACGTATGGATGGTAACTGCTATGCTAGCGAGTCCATCGCTTTGATTCATTTCTTGAGGTTCGCCTGGGAAAGACACCATCAGAATGAGAAGCCGCGAACGTGATTCGAGGAGGAACTAAGGGATCGGTTTAAATTACATCAATCGACAGAATAATCGACAAAATGGCTCACGATGAATCGATTAAATTTCTTAGTCGATCGAGAGCCATAAAACTAATTATAAGAATAGTTAGGGAGGCTCCATGATTATTGCACTTAGTAGAGGGACACGGAAATGGGGAGGAAAAAAAAAACTTTCTGGAGATTGGATATTTATTCAATATGTCACGAGAGTTCATGTTGGATGCGATGCTTAAAGCCATTGATTCAAAGAAAGTATTCCCGAAAAAGGCTCGTGAAGAGAAAAATTAATAATATATATACATCAAAACTAATTCTTACAAGGCTCAAAAAATAATTAAACACATGTTTATATGTTCTCATGTTCTCATATACCATGGCATGGTATATGAGAACACAAGAAGAAAATGCTGGCTAGACCCCGTGCCGTCAACAGCTCTTCACGATAATTACAGAGAAAAATGAGAAGAGGATATTCTCGCAGAGAGCCGAGCAAGAAAACTGAGTGTGATCCTCATAAGTGCTTAAAAAATGTTAAACCATCTTAAGGTCCCAATCTGGAGTACTCGAAACCAGCTTCGCAAATAGTAATACAAGCTGTTCGTGCAAAACGGCGACCAAATCACTGCATTTCGTCGAGGACCAAGCGAAGTATAATTATCCATTTGGGAAAATGAGATTTCCCGAATGCTGGAATAATAACGGAATGAGAGAATGCCATGCAATGCGATATGAAGCCATTTGAAACCGAGTCGGACGTAAATGCTGTTTTCATTACCTGTTGAAACAAGTGATGAACCGAACGGTAAATCGCGCTGTTAACATGGTGGTAAATTGCCAAGCAGGGCCTGGAGGAAAACGCAGTTCCTTTCTTCCTATACCGCAACATTTTGCTATACCACAACGATTTTTGCACTGACTCGGCGTCCTCATTCACGAGAATGAGGAATATCAATTATTATATTTCTTGACAGTTTAACTTCTGTAATTCCAACTTGTCCTGACGAATGGAGATTGAAATGGGTCAGTATTTCCTCAAAGTTCCTTCAAAATGAAACAAAATCTAAATTACATCCAGCAAAAACCTAAGCTTGGGTGAAGTCCCAAATTTTTGCATGTCAGTCTCAGCTTATGGTTGACAAATGCAAGCGATTTTCTTCAAGCATATTTTCACAATAAAATGCTAAATGCACTTTAAACTTCCGGTTGGGCTTCTCTTCATGCCATTTCATGCCCTTCAAATCAGCATAAAAAGCCTTCAATGATCAAGGTCGACCCTAAAGGACACGAGCCCTCCGAGACGATTCAACAACCGGATGGCGCGATGGCATTACAGGCCGAAGCGGCCGCTGCGTCCAGGTGATTTCTCAAGGCGAGGACGAATTTCTTGTGATTGGTCAGGGCGAAGCCCTTAATGATTCCGATCGGCACGAACGGGACTCGGAAATCCATTCCGTTTACCCAGCGGAATATGCATTTTTTCTTGTTTTCCTTGTGTTTAGAAAACGCGTGCCCGCTCCCCAGATGTTCCACGCTCCTGGATGAAGAAAAAAAAAATGAATGCATTGTGATTTTTTAAATGTGGATATAATTAAGAGATACGAGAACCTGACGATTCCGTGTCTCGGGGGGAGGCCGGGCCAGGTGACGTTGCTGAAGGGCCAGTAGATGGTGTCCCCGATCTTCCTATGGCAGACGATGGAGACGAAATCCCTCGCGGCGATCAAGCCGCCGAACATCGGCTTCGTCGTCTCGCGTATGATCCGACATTCCTTGGATATCGACTGCAGAAAAAGGAGGCAAATTCTATTCAGAAGAATTGGGTGCAAAAATTCCAAGTCGTTAATTATCTCCTCAATCTATACATATAAGTTATACGGTAAATCTGTGAGCTTTTTTAAGAAAATTTCACTGCGTTCAGATTGATCTGTTCCGCCCAAGTACTTGGAATTCTCACATTTTCTCGCCATCTTTGAATTTATTTTCAGTTGAAATTCCTTCTTTAAACGGGAGTTTTCTCAGGTATCATTTTGAGGAGCTTAATTCCACTTAATAATAGTTAACAAAGAATGAAATGCGAGCGTGCCTACATTTCGTTGATTCATTCATATTCGTGCAAATATTGTTTCCTTCGGTCTTCAGAGAACGAGAAATTCAGAAGTGATTGGCTTTCCAATTTCATCATTACTTTCCAAGCTAATTTTCATGAACTTTTATTAACATTATATTTTTTAACCCTCGTTTCCCATGTGGAAATTTTTCTGACCCCGCAAATAAAAAAAACTTAATTCTACGGTTCTTTTTATTGGATGCAGATTTTCTTTCAGGATTTTTTCCTGCAAAAGTACTCATCAGTACTCATCCTTGCCTCATCAGGTACTCATCCTATGGAGTACCCATCAGGTACTCCATAGATGAACAGTCAAATATTTCATGCACTCAGAAGTACACTTGAGTCACAGAAAACCGAGCATTCCTAGAGTAGCCAATAAAACGTATCCTAAGAGAGAACTTAGTTATTTTAAAGCCAAGAAGAGGCAAAGTTTAATTAAATTTCAAAATACCATTAACTTAAGAAGCAAATACTGAAATTCCATAGTCTCATTTTTGCCAACGTAATATTCTCATAGCCATTTATTTAATGGCCATTTTATTTATTTTATTTTATTCTCATGGTTTTTATAATTATAAGTAAAATGGGAGATGGAATGACTACTTGAAACCCACCTGAACGAATTCGTTCTGGCTGAAATCCTTGTACCACTCGTGATTCTGCCCGGCGGGTGCCCAGGTGTTCCAAAATGCCCATTCAAAGTCGTAGTTGAGCACCGCCTACATTGGGGGAAGCATGAACTGAATTTCCGTCGCTGTTCAGGAGTCTGAGGCTCGTTACTTTGCTATGCATGACGTTTGGGTCATACAATTTGGCAGGGGATGCATGGAGGGAAAAGAGAGGTTGTTGTGAAGGAAAGGAATCATTTGCATAAAATGGAGAAAAGTTCAAGGAAATCGGCCTATTTACATTTTGGATAAATTTCGTGAATGACAGCAATGCTATGTAGAAAAATTCGAGTTTACATATGATTTTAGCGGAAGCAAACAAATGCGTCCAAAATGCACGCACACCGAATCGTAGAGGACTCAACGGCATCAAGCACGAATCTCCACGATGATGAAATTCCCCTCGATATCGCACCGCTCACCGAGAGCCGTCGACCCACCTCGGTGTAGATGAAGTAGATGCCGAGATGCGGCTGGAACTGCGACCGGACGGTGATCTCGTCCTCGGGGTATTCCACCTCCAGCGTCCACGAGTCCGTGGAGTTCAGATGCGACCGGAACGCCTCCAGCGCCTTTTCTCCCTCTCCCAGGTATTCCCGTCTCACAACCTCTGGCTGCCGAGGTCAAGGTCGTGGAAAAATCTATTTGCTACCTCCTGTCAGGAATTGCAACCTGATTTGTTCTGCTTATGGTAGAAATTCGCGATCGGATCAATATTTAGTTGATCCGATCTGCAGGAAAAATGTCTTACCAGACCGTATTTATTTCCCTTGAGAGGGTACTCGTTCCCACCTGCAAAAAATAATGGATATGATCATGCAAAACATAGCATATTCAGTCAACTCCTCACTGTCGAAATGAAATCTGAAATGAAAATAGTCGAAAGTGAAAATTGTTAATAGCACAAACACAATCCTTTTCTCGCTCTGAGACTGCATGAACAGTTTCGGCTCACGTCGCAGTTTGCGACCAGCCTCTCTACATTCGCAGCTTGAGAGCGAAAGCGCGAAAAGAAGGAAGCCTTAGCAATCGACAGTTGCGAAAAAGGGCGACAAGTTGCTCGAAAAAAAAAATTCCCATCGAAGCCGAAAAGCATATTCCCGAAGCGCATAAATAAGGGAAAGGATTTTGGGGACGACTCTTATACATGGTCACTGTCGCCATCTGTATCTCGATGTTGATGCAACGTCGTGACGGCATCGTCGTGGCACCATCTCACGTCGGGACGAGGAAACTATCGTTGTTTCAATGTCTCACCAGATGTCTCGCCCGACAAATGGTCATGTTATGTTGACCGGACGATGTTCTTGCAATGCATATATTTTGCATCAATGTTGACAATGCGTTGGATCGTCAGCATCCTCTCAACATTGTCAGCATATTACCGACTTGCGTCAACGTTGTCGGGCATATTTGGTTCTCGCATCCGGGAGCAATCTTTATTTTGTTGTGTCTTCTTGCGTCTTCTTGGAAAGCAACGTTTAAAGCGATTAAAAAAATAGTTTAAATCGGTTGAAAGCTGTTGAAAACTACGAAGCAGGTGAGATTGAGTGACAGTGACATCGGCCGTCTATAGCCATCAAAGTTTTCCAGCGTTACTCCAAGAACAAATAAGGATTGCTAAAGCGCGGAAATTCGCCTCGCGAACTCCGCGAACTTGCCTCGCGCCTCCTCGCTGTGCAGATACGCGAGATCCCGGAGGAAGAGCAGGGTCTTGACGAGGAAGTCCTGGACGAGGAGGCCCGTCGTGCCTGCGAGCATCATTGTGTCGCTGTCGCTCGGGCGGAGGGAGGAGATTGCGGCGTCGGTTTCGGTTCTTCCTGATAAAAAAAGGAGCAAAAACAACTGAAAAGAATTGAAATGGGGGAAATAAACTAAAATTTGTGGAGCTTGGTAAAAATGTGAGAAATGTGAGAAAATGCCAGATATAGTAGTGTAACTGCCCAGCCGGCACGACACCCGGTGAGTGGCCTGGCAGGACTGCCGTTATGCGAGGGAAGAGCTCTCTATGAGTAGCCCAGGGAGACCGCAAGTATTTGCATGACCCCCTAGGTGTCACGCCTGCCCTCTGACCCTTGACCTCAATCGAGAGATCTCTCTTAGTAACCCTCTATATGTCTTTTGTTCTCAGCCACCTCTCTTTTCATTTCCGTCTGGCACTCACAGACTAGAGGCAGAGTTATGCTCATATTTTAATCCAGTAATTCGGCGTCCAAGCGCCAAGAAAGGGTGGCCTGTGCCGCAAGATCGCACGCGCCTGAAGAGTGAGGTTCCCCCCTTTTTTTGCTAGAGAGGGGAAGAGAGCTGATTACAGCCCATCTATCTATTCTCTCCGCTTATCATCCATGGGCGATAAGCCTCTACCCCCTTACCCTGCGGGAGTAGACATTCCCGACATCCTGAACCTTCTTAACCCTCGGGAGTAGACATTCCCGATTCCCTAATCCCTTTCGTCTCATGGTGTAGATATCCCGATCGTCATCTTCCAGGATCTTTGATTGATTGGCCGAGGACTATTGTTTGTGTACTAGCTTAACCGCTCAACGACGTGGTCTTATCCATTTCATCCCCTTGGTGCGATCTTGGCCGCTGTGCCTTGTTTTTTTAAAATAAACCTTGATTTGTATCAACCCTGACCTACAGTGTTGTGATTCCCACCACCAGTAGAGGAGCACCCACGGAACCGTAACAGTAGGAACTACAGAACTTGAGAGTACCAGCCCAGGTACAGTTGTTGCATTCCACTGGCCCCTGTACCACTGGATTTATTATATTTATTGTATTATTCACCGCATCCTAACCATCCGAGCTTGAAATAAATAATAGCTGTCACTGGTTCGACATAGGCCTATATGAAAAGGCCTGGACAACTAGACTTGTTCTCCATGGTCCGCGCTCCCGCGCCGCGTGGAGATGAGACAGAATCAAGTGTAGGACGCCAGATACGCCAGATTTCACGCGTACGCCCGGCAAACCTGTCTACGCGGCCCCGAGCAGCCGCTCTCCTCCATTGTATACTATGGATCCGTCAACCGCCAGGGCTGGAAGGGAAGTGGATGTTTTCGTGGAAGACTATTAAATGCGATATTTATATGCCTGGAACATGGTAATCTGAATGCAGTAAACGTTTGCTCAAAATACGAGGCATATCCCATAACAACATAAATTTAGTATACATTATATGCATGCAAAATGNCATATATAATCAGTAAAACTTTGAGAGCTTGCCCATGTATCAGTATGTCTCCTATAATATTGCTAACAAAATATTGTAATAACAAAACGTTTCTATATCGATAGCGAAATTTGTTTAATTGCTTTCAAAATGAGGGACTTTTTGTGCCACACCCTGTACAACAAAAGGCAAGAAAATCTGATGTCTCTAAGCCCAAGGCAAGTTGTAGTCCTGATTCTGGATTCTGTCCCATGTACCCCTCAGTAAACAGGAGAGAGCTGCTGTTGCAGGTAAAAAATAAAAAATGGGGGTTTTCCAATGTAGCGAACCCCCAGGGGGTCACAAGATATGGGGCACGAATGCCTCGCTACATATGGGGATCAGACCCAAGGTGGTCGATGGTAATCAAGAAGGTTGCGTGTTCTTATAGATGGTAAATTAGCGAGGGAGAAGCGAAGTCTCAGATCTCTCTAGACTCCAAGTATGAAGAAAGGTACGTCCTTAGATCAGGTTAACAACTATGCAGAATTTATTAGGATACTCAATAGGGGAGAAAGACCGGAAGGAGAAATACGGGGAGATACAGTCTCACGGTTGTAGCTGGGGCTCGCACGCACTTCGTCCTGATACGTGGACGATCGAATGTGTTGGTTCCTGGTCGCCGACCGTGGTCTAGGTCATCGGTTCGTGATGAGTCCACAGCAGTTCGCTATACCGACCAGCCCGTAGTTCGGGGCTCACACTGCGGTTCACTGAGTTGACCGGCTGTGAGGGTCAGGCTGCGTGACTCGACACGCCACGTGTTGTCCGGCCGAAGGTTCGAGACGGTCTCGCCCTTGCTGTCCGGCCGGAGGTTCAAGACGGACTGGCTGTAGGGCAGAGGTGAGGGCGTGAAGGGGCGAGAGGAGGTCCGCTATTACTACTCGGCGTAGTAACTCGGGGACTCTTCCCCTCTGCTCATCCATGGACATGAGGAGGGCTCCACACCAAAAAGAATCCTTCAACTGTTGGAAAGAGACTCCAGGAAAATCTGGCCTATACTCGTGGAATGTGAAGAACAAAATGACTGAAAATGCCAAAAAAACCTTCAAACTCCAAAGCCCATCACTCCATCACTTGTTCCCAATTAAAAAAAAAAACTATAGGGTCAGTTGTTCCTGTACAAATGTGTCACCCTCTTCCACACAAATTTCAACTCTCATCTCTCCTAGTCAACCTCCAAATTTGTACCACATCCCCTTTGAGACAACCTTTTACCCTCCTTTTCACAGTGTCACCAACATCATCAAAACAAATTATCCCATCCTTGTGTCTGGACCTGACACCACCCCAGAGTCAACAAATTGAGTAGATACATTTATGGTACATCAGAATAGAAATCAGAATCAGAATGTTACAATATTATTAAATGTTACAATATTATTAAATATTACAGAAATCCATTAAATATTGTAACGGCCCAGCCGGCACGACACCCGGTGAGTGGCCTGGCAGGACTGCCGGTATGCGAGGGAAGAGCTCTCTATGAGTCGCCCAGGGAGACCGCAGTATATGCATGACCCCCCAGGTGTCACGCCTGACCTCTGACCCTTGACCCCAATCGAGAGATCTCTCTTAGTAACCCTATATATGTCTTTTGTTCTCAGCCACCTCTCTTTTCATTTCCGTCTGGCACTCACAGACTAGAGGCAGATGCTTATATATTAATCCAGCAATTCGGCGTCCAGCGCCAAGAAAGGATGGCCTGTACCGCAAGATCGCACGCGCCTGAGGAGTGAGGTTCCCCCCTTTTTTTTGCTAGAGAGGGGGAAGAGAGCTGATTACAGCCCATCTATCTATTCTCTCCGCTTATCATCCATGGGCGATAAGCCTCTACCCCCTTACCCTGCGGGAGTAGACATTCACCGACGTCCTGACTTGCCCCTCGGGATTAAGATATTCCCGATTCCCTAATCCCTTTCGTCTCATGGTGTAGATATCCCGATCGTCATCTTCCAGGATCTTTGATTGATTGGCCGAGGACTATTGTTTGTGTACTAGCTTAACCGCTCAACGACGTGGTCTTATCCCTTTTATCCCCTTGGTGCTATCTTGGCCGCTGTGCCTTGTTTTTTTTTTTAATAAACCCTGATTTGTATCAGCCCTGACCTACAGTGTTGTGATTCCCACCACCAGTAGAGGAGCACGTACGGAACCGTAACAATATTAAGTACAAGATCAACAACAATAAGAATATAATGATACATTCATCCTCCAGTCAAAACCTGCTCTTCTTTGTCTTTGGCTGTTCATCCTCATGTGCATCTGGTTTAGCAAAGATGGGTTTTGGTTGTGTTTAGGGATGCACCGATCCAGGATTAGCCTATACCGATACCGATACAGACAGCTCCCAGTGGCTGTCAGAAGTGAAACCGCAATACAGGACCAGACCTTTGTAGGCCTTATGCTACCTTTGGCATGGAAGGGAAGAAATAAAAAATCCTCGGACACGAATGACCCAACATTCAAAATTCCTGTCATTTATTAGCTCTGGAGACATTTACGTCGGCCAATAAATTAACTTCTTCAGTAAAGGCCAAAACTTCCCCCGCCATTCACTGGGCCAGCCGAGAATACGTCGGACGTAGGTACTACGAACAAAGGACGATCGGTGCGAAGAGGAGTAGGAATAGGAACTACGTCTCGTGCCCTTAAAGGATTAAGGAGTTGATGCAACTACAACCGGGATCGGTGCTCGAGAGGAGAGCCGGAGGTGGGATGGACGTGAGCACAAAGTGCGCCTGCGCAAACCAGTCAGCACAGGAAGGCAGGAGACTGGGAATGGGGGAAAGTGAAGGAATGAATGCGTACGTGAATGACTCTGACCCATTCCATTTTTGTACAATGCCCTTCCTTCTCAGATCTCTCGCATTCCGCTTTAACCATGCCCAAACTCATTGTTCATGAGTTCAAACTTCATGTGCAGCCCCATGTTTCGAATGATATATGAAGACAATGTCCCTCCACTTTCAGCCACTCTCCCTCCAGACCCTATTCATACACAAACTCAATATTGCTGGGGAGCATTTCATCAGTACAGAGAATTTAAGAAAATAAAAGAGTAATATTCTCCATGCAGATTAAAGCTAATAAGATCACATTGACAAAGATCTCAGGGCTTATGCTGTGTGGAGGTGTCAGACACATAATGATGATAAGGCACCTAGGTTCCTCACCCCTGTGAGTGTCTTGACTCTAAAAAATTAATTTTCAAACAACTGCCTTTGACGTACATGAAGAAATAATCAATATCCCATGGTCAAGGCTGTCTTAGGTTTGTAAAAGGTAAAATTGAGGCACAACAATTCATTGCAGGGTTAAGGACTGCCCTTGTATATGCCAGTGGGTGAAAAATATTCCTTAAAAAATTGTATTTGGAATTCTTGATTTGTATGCATAGGTTAAGAGTGATTATGCTGAAAAGCTGGAATTGGAATAATAGTCCAATATTCAGTTCCAGGAGTGATAATTCAGAAACTTTTCAGCTTCTCATCAAATGAGAATTCAGTACACATAGCCTTCCCAGAGGGAGGAGGAGATTAAAAGAGTGTGACAAAAGGAAGACACTCTCATAGGAGGTCATCCAGCAGCCCTGTCACTTGTGCCATTTGCTGCATGTGCAGGCTTTTATTTGCTCTAGCCTGGAAAATTCCAAGTTTACTCAACAGTGGCATGTATGCTTGACAGTTTGATGAGTGAAAAGAAAAAAGCCTGACTGGTGAAGTCAGATTGTCTGGCAAGTGAAAACAAAGAACCATCTACTATTACCCCCAAGTGCAAGTTCACACTGCCCGATGTTATACCCTAAACATGCCATGGGATTGGCCTTTATGTGCAGGAACTGTATTTTTGACCATCACTAGGCAGGGTGAGCTGAAAAATGCTGCTAGGTTGGAAGTTGAAGTTGAAACAGAACAGGTTGGATGCCAGACAGAATTTTTAACATACAAAATCTATCACCAGTGATGCACTTGGCAGCCAACATGTTAATGGGTGGTCTACACCAATTTTTTCATGCAACTTTCCATACTTTGGAACAGCAAACTCAACAAAAATATAGACATTACCTATGGTTTGAGCAAGACTGATGGATTAAACAAAATTCTGGTATGCCTGGTTACAGTACTGCATCTGCCAATTCCAAATTGAACAGTTGGTTCCTGAGAACTTTAAATTCACCCATTCAATATTTTCTATCCAAAGCATGAAACACATCTTTCCCTTGCTCAGATGGAAGAAAGAGAAATGGTAATAGTGTCTTCACTTGAATCAGCCAATTTTTCACTTGACTCTGACACTTGTGCAGGGGACATTCCTAATGCATGTCCATGTCATGTGAAAAAATGTTTGACTTGACTGACAAATGTTTGAGCGAAAAGCACTGTCATTTTAAAGCTGAGAGGAAGCAAGAGATAAAGAGACCATGAAACAGAAGACAAGCACTTCTTCAATGCTGGAGGAAACAGTCTGTACCTCAAGCTTTAAAATATTTGTACATACTGTCTTTGGATCAGTGGCGGATACAGAAATATCTCATGATATTTCTGTATCGATACGATACCTCTCGATACGACCGACCCCCCCCCCCCCCTTCGTTTCCACCAGGTCCCTGACTGCAGGGTTTTCCATTTTTATCCACAGTAAAACCTTCAGATCACGAACTCTATTTTTAAATACAACGAAAATGAATAGAAATAGCTTGAAAACGGGGTTAAATGCATCTTTGTTATTGAAAACAAAACCAGAATACAGATTGATCTCGAGGTATAAAAGTTCCACTCGTTTCCAGTCGTTTTTAACCACTATAACTCAAAATCTAGTCGCCGCTTTCGTGATCGGGCGAATTCTGTTATCACAGAATCGATGGAAACATCCACATCGCGATGAAGATGCAAAAGAGCGAGTCCTGTCAGACGTTCCTCCCTCATTCTTGTCCTCAACCATGATTTCAGCTGCTTCAAACAGCTGAAACTGCGCTCTGCTGAGGCGACAGTCACAGGGGCAGTGCAAAGCACTGATAGGAGAGAAAACACAGACGGGAAACAAGTTTTGCTGCAGGCGGCCAAAGCTTCCAAGGCTGTCTTGGGTGGTTCTGATGCATGTAACCACTTCTCTCGCCAAGAGCGAACTTCTGAGTACAGCATCCTCACAGCGGCTTCACGTCCGATTGGAGTCAACAGTTTCCAGTAGAAACCTCCCAACTCTTCCCATTCAGACGTGGGTATCTCTGTTCGAAAGCACAATTAATTGAGAAGAGATAAATATAGTAGAACATTTTTCGAACAGATCGCTGTTGAAAACTGCCAAACCTCTTTGAATCAAGTGGATAGGAACCAAGAGAGACAACTTGGCAAATTTCCTCTTTTCTATACCGAATCGACTTGATAAGTCCATCAGGATATCATCGAGAAACGGGATGAACAAGGCACGTCGGTAATATTCCTCTGGGCATGCCGATGGAGCATCGAAACGCTTGGTTTGTTGAGAAGTCCGAGGTAACTTCACAACAATCCCAAGAAGTTCAGCCTTTTCTGAAGGAAAACGTCCAATATAAAATGAGAAATCCTGCGAATACTGTAGATCGAATGGTATGTCACTGGCTCAGATCCTCACCTGCAGCTTCTAAAAAGATCTTCGAGAAAGCAGTCTCCGCCTCTTGACGCCACGTTCCCAATGTTGCTCTCAATGCGTCGAGTTGCTCAAATGCAGAGACTAAGTCCATGTCCTCCGCTTGAATGCTCCTGGCAATGGGCAGGGTGATGGTCAAGACGTCAGCCAGAGTGTAGAGGGCAATTATGAAGTCGAATGTTTGCAGTGAGTTGATCAGGGAGAATGCCGAATTCGCTGAAGAAGAATCTCTCCACATGGTGACGTCTGATAGAGCCTGAATTACGTCAGGGAGTACTTCAATGAAGAGGAGAATACAGTCATGCCTTTCCACCCACCGAGTATTGCAAAGATTTATCAAGTGCAAATGACAGCTGGAATTTCGCAGGTTGTCTTCCAAAATCTTCGATCTTTTGGCTGAGGAATTGAAGAAGTTGCACACAGATGTTATTGTTCCCATAACATTTCTTATTAAAGGAACTCCACATCCTCGAGATAATGTCAAATTCAAACTGTGACTGGAGCAGACAGAATGCACTGCAAGTGGTGCCGTTTTTTGTATGGTTTTCACAGCTCCACAAGTGATAGATGTCATAACGGATGCACCATCCGTACCGACTGCCACCAAATTACATAAATTCAACTTCAGATTTTGAAGTTCTTCTATGACGATTCGTCCTAGGACTTCACCAGTCAGCGAGGGTTCTGTATACGGCTGCAGAATCCCAGACCGATAGCAGTCTACGAATGCGAGGAAGTCTTCATGAATTTTTCCATCCTTTATGTACCGAGCAACGAGGGACATTTGCTCAGTCTTACTCAGGTCAGTTGTCTCATCGAAGATGACGGCAAATGCACCGGATCCGTGGATATCTGCAACTGTTCTTTCTTGGATATGTCTCCCAATTATGCTGATCAACTCATTTTGAGTTGTCTTGCTGATGTATGTTGCATTCGATTTTGCATTTTTCAATTGTTCGGATAAAAGCGCATCTCCACTTGCCCTGAATCGCAAAAGAGACCTGAAGTTTCCATCATTTGATGCAGGATTTTCATCTATTTCAATCATTCCATCATCTCGGTGACCTCTCAGAGGGATGTTTTGCCTGCCACAGAGAATGATGGTCTCCACAATAGGAGAAAGTCTTTTCCTGTTCTCAAGAGCAATGATTCGCTTTTGTTCATCCAGTTGTCTTCTTATGTTAAGATCAGGATTTTCGTAGGCTCTGATGAAATTGGCAGCAGCACAACTCGCGCTCCGGTGATAAGAAGTGCATTCGTGTGATGTAAGAGCGCCATCTTTACCAGTCAACTTCTTAAAACACGTAAGAGGTTCCTTCACTAAGGTGTTCAATGAAATCTGGCTGTGCTGTCCACCTTTGGCGCAGCTGTTCATCAGGGCACATACTTTACAATAAAACCCTTTCTTCACATCTGATAATGCTAGCCATTGAAATTGCTCCAAGTGTTTTTGGCTTGCAAACCGCCTCTCAGACTTGTCGCCTTTTCCCTTCACCGAAAAAGGAAATTCGTATCCCCTTGGCGGTTGCCAATGATTGGTCAACAGTTCATACCTGAGTTTGTCTGAAATACATTGTAGCTGACCTTCATAGCTGCCGATATCCAGACTTACAATTTCTATGTCTGCTTCAGAGATTTTGATACGCTTTGGTGGATAATCTGGCTCAGTCAGAATAATTGAAGAGTCAGGCGTTGACTTGAGATCCTCGATTCGAGAGTTGGAATTTTGACGCTCAAATCCAAAACTCAGAAGGGTTCCTTGTTTCCTCTTCATATCACTTCGTCCTATCGGATAAGGGGTAATTTCTCTCAATTATGAAGGGGGACAACTCTTAAAAAAAATTATCCTCTAAAAGCTGATAAATATACATAGGTACTAATTGCACTCGAGGATCAAAGGTATTTACGCAACAGAGAGCTTATTTTCTCATTCGGAGGTTTTGAGTAGCAGTACTCTGCGGGACTGAGTTCGAACTCGCGCAAAAGAATCTGCGAGTGCATCGAAATAGCAAAAAGAAGCTGCAGCATTGCATGGCTAGTCTAGTTGAATGTAAAAAGAATATGACCCACCTGATGAGGTATTGCTGACGCCAGGCACAGGCACAATGATGCAGTCGTGGTTCTGACTGTTACTGAAGCAGTGATTCCATGGGGATGAAGGAAAAAGGGGCAATGTCTTTTTATGCCTTGTTCTCGGACAATAAGGATTAAAGTCGAGATCAGAAAAGGTGAGATGAGATGTTATCATGGCAATGCGTTTTCCTCACCCCTCCTAATCTCTATTGAGATTAGTTGTCACCCCCTAGTCTGTATTGAGAAGGTAAAGATTTTTAAATCTGATAGAAAGGAAATCAGCTCTGCTTGGCCTTGTCGTTTTAAAATAGGTAGCATAGGGGGGGCGGTCGCCCCCCCCCCCCCCCTGTATCCGCCACTGCTTTGGATTGAGTTTTAACCAGTGGCGTAGCCAGGTTTTCGTCAATGGGGGGGGGGGCTAAGCTGAACGTTGGGGGGGGGGCTAATGGTGGGCTAACTTCTCCTCGTCGGAGTGGGACGGACGCATTCCGACCAGAGTTGGGGGGGGAGGCTTGAACCAAACTTGGGGGGGCTGAAGCCCCCCCTGGCCCCCCCTCACTTTGCCACTGGTTCTAACCCCAACCATATTAGAGAATTGAGGAAACGCAACTTCTAGACAATCCTTCATGAGAAAGAAGACCACCCATATTGAAGATGTCACTACCTGCAATTGATGGAGGCACTCCTCTGGGAGTAGTGGTACAAATACAATACAAAACTAGCATTGGAGTTAACCCAAGTCGAAATGAAGGTCCATGCAATGCAGGCACATCCCTAGGAATCCTTTAAAGCCAGTTGAAACAAAAATGCCAGGAAACTAGGGGCAGAAACGTTAGGCTTTATGCGGCCAACATTAATATGTACAGACTAGAACTAGCATAAGGAACTAGCATAACTGGCCTAATAATTCTACTAGACTTTTCGTTGAGTTCATGTCCTTTTCAGCTAGCGATGCCACATTGAGGGGGGGGGGGGAAGTGGCCAGTATATGAAAGTAGAAGCAGACCCTACTAAATACAAAGGTAAACATAGCTCAAAGAAAACTTTCCTGAGTAAATAATATTCAAGATTGAGCGCTGCACAACACATCGTGAAACTCAAGGAGTTTTTCGACCAACCGCCGAAACTTCTTCCTTCGTCATAAGCGCATTCTCAAACTAGAAATTTATTCAGGCATTTCCTTCCCGTATGCTCTAGTTTTACCGTCCTTCAACTTCCGGACCCTCCCCAGGTGAGTTTCAGAAAGCCTGCATGTTTTAAACTCTGAATTTGGAGAGGACTCTGACTTTTCACTTTTGGAGTAAATATATAATATTGGAGGTACCCAACGACTGAAAAAATGATTCGGCTCGAAAAATACAGAATAACTGCGCCCCCGCAGAATTCTAACGAGAGAAACTGATTCGTGTCTCCCGCCCATGGATGACGGGCAAAGGGGCAATCGTGAGCGACATCTGAGGATTGCGGCAGAAACACGGAGGACGGATACCCCTCCCATCCCGTGTGTCTATGTCGGCACATTCCCATCATGAGCTATGTTAAAAACTTCCTACTTTCGTCAACTGATACGACACTTATATGACAGGAATCTTCCTGGAACCGAACTGATTATATCATTTAAACATAAAATTTCACTCGAAGGGGGAGACGTCATTCCTCTTACGATATGGAAAAGGTGGAAACGCATTTGGGAAAAGCAGCTTGTTCATTGGAGTCCTGGACACACTGGGCGCATTCAGTTGCGACCCGAGCTATAACGCGAGTCACGGCACGAAACACTGAATGCATCGGGTGATGACGCAGGAACCTGACCCAAGTTACGTGCTATGACCCGATCTCTGAGATCGAGT